GCGGCCCGGCCCCAGCATGGCTGACCAGGCGCCCTTCGACACGGACGTCAACACCCTGACCCGCTTCGTCATGGAGGAGGGCAGGAAGGCCCGCGGCACGGGTGAGCTGACCCAGCTGCTCAACTCGCTCTGCACGGCCGTCAAAGCCATCTCCTCCGCGGTGCGCAAGGCCGGCATCGCGCACCTGTGAGTCGCCTCGGGCGGGGCCCTTCTGTCTGTCTGTCTGTCCGTCCGCCCGGGGAGCCTGTCCGGCGCTGGGCCCTCTGGTCCTCCTGCGTCAGCCTCTGTCTGTCCGTCTGATGTCCGGGCGCCTCTCTCCAGAAGCTGGCTCAGTCTCACTCAAGTTCTCACCCCCTCCCTTGACCTTGGAGGGGCCACCTGGGGGTCCGTCTCGCAGGTGCACGCCGGATTCCATCCTCGTGCCCCTCTCAGCCGGCACCTGGCCTGCCCGTCATACCCGCGCTGGCCTCAGACAGGAAAGTGCTGGCTCAGGTGCCTTCCTTCCCCTTCTCTTCTCTGTCCTCCTTCACTCTTTCTGCAATTAGGCACCCGAGTCAGGTTTCTAATCCAGTGTCTCTGACCCGAAACGAGACTTGTTAGGAGCGAGTGTCCCCCTCCCAGGCAGGCTGGGAGGTCTCCTGTGTGTCCAGAGCCTTTAGGAGCAGCAGGCCTGGTGTGCAAAGGAGCTCCCGTGGGCTGCCCCTTGCTGGGACCGTTGCCATGTTGTGCCAGAAAGAGGAAACACCCAGGGCTCCAAAACCCTTATCCATTTGCAATGACGGTGTGTGCAGCCCCCACCCAATTAGTGGAAAGCTCAAAAGTTGTTTGTAGAATGGTTTCGAATGCTCTGTGGGGTGCATCTCGAACGTCACTGGGCACCGGAATCATTGGGGGTCTTGGTAAGACGTGTGCCCTCTTTCCGTCGCTCTGGGACGGGCCCTGAGATTCGGCATTTCTGAGAAGTCCTCCTGCGGTGGATGCTGCCCGTCAGATACTGTGTGTCTGCTGATCTCATTGTGAGTAGCAAGGGGTCAAGGCGAGGGGAGACTCAAAGGACCCCTTCTTGTGAGGTTTTTGTAAGTCACACAACATCCTTTCGTTTGTGTTGGTGTGCACAGGTATTTTCTTTTTCTTTCCTTTCTTTCTTTTCTTTTCTTTTCTTTTCTTTTTTTTTTTGAGACGGAATTTTGCTCTTGTTGCCCAGGCTGGAGTGCAATGGTGCGATCTTGGCTCACCAGAACCACTGCCTCCCGGGTTCAAGCGATTCTCCTGCCTCAGTCTCCCGAGTAGCTGGGATTACAGGCATGTGCCACCACGCCCAGCTAATTTTGTAATTTTTTTTAGTAGAGACGGGGTTTCTCCATGTTGGTCAGGCTGGTCTCGAACTCCCGACCTCAGGTGATCC